AGTCCTCTTCAGTTATATTACTCTCATTTAGAGAACTATAAAACTCATTTATAGATGGTAGCGATGTTTCGTTAAGTTTCTCGAATGAGTCTGTATACTCGTAGGGGTAAACACCTTTACGAGTAATAAGACCTATATCTGTTTGAGGAAAATGTTTTGCTGTCTCTTTGAATTTTTCAACATCCCCTTTAGCCAAATTTTCGGTTAGTTTTGCCAAACTAGATGCCATAAATCTGTTGCTGTCTACAAATCTTATTTTAAAATCTTTAGTAACATACTTTGAAAATGAAATAAATTTTTCTTCGGTGTTAGGTATAACATTTATCGGTTTATCATCATATCCTAGCTGTGTTACAATGAAATGACTGTCATAATTTGATAAGTTATGAAAAAAACATGGCACGAATTTAGGAGATTTTAAATTTAAATTACACTCATTACAAATTGTCTGTCGATAATTAGAAGTTAAATGATCATGATCACGCACTGGTTGATTGTTTGTGGAGAATTTTTTAGAGCATAAAGGACACGAACCCCGTTTTACTATATCGTTATGTTTTTTCGCGTCAGCATGCTTAAAAGTCATTGGCATGTTGACTTGTAACATTTCCGATATATTTCGAGCTACTTTAACAATTTCTTGAACAAAATGTTTAGCCACCGCACCCTTTTCTCCAAGACCGTCCCCTCTGTACAACACTGGAGACGTTGGAATTGAAAACTGCTGTAGTAATGTAATTGGTATGTCTTCTTTAGCCTTAACATAATAACAGTAGCTCATGGGTTCATGGTCATGAGTTATTTGGGTATTATGCAATTCTTCAGAGTCGTGTTTGAACAAAACAGCTTCAAAATCCGCGTAAATGGCAACAGGATGCCGTTCAGTATTGGCCCAGTTTTCAAATTTGGTTGTTGTGTTAGACTCAGGCATAACTGGTGTTATAGGCTCGTTAACTCTACAACGCTCTTTGTGTTGACGTAGAAGTTCTTCTTTGCTGGGTTTTCCTGGCTTGGAAATGTAAGTTTTAAAGCATCTTCTACATATAACAGTTTTAGAACAAAATGACGTCATCGATGATCGTACCAGCTTAGCCAGATCGGTTATGTAACAATAATGTCTCTGGCCAGCCTCGTTTGAAATCATTAAAAGATCGAAATGATCGGGTTTTTCATCCTTGCACACTCTTAAAGGAATTACAATGTTTTTTTCTACTTGTGGATGATTTTTCTTTGTTCTATTTTTGTATGTTGCAATACCTTTTTTCAGTCCATAGACGTTTACTGATACGTTGTTGTTCTGTTTTTCAAATTTTGTAATTTCTTCAAGAGTCAAAGGCATAGTAAGCCCTGAAAAGTTGTATTTGTGTCCATTTTCTTCAAAATGTTTCTTCTGGAGCGTTATACGAGAGGCGTTAACTGGGTTGATGGTTTTCGTCATTATACTATAAATAAAACAATTATTATCATCATCGTTTTTGACATTTATAGTTGAACGTTTACTTTCGATTTCTTTAGGAAGAGGTAAATAACTACCTCCACCAAAAGGTGTGTATTTATCGGTATATAAAAGAATTCCATCAATTTTTTCAAGCGTAAAACCGCTTCCTTTACCCTGGTACTCTTCTTGTTCTAGTAAAAGTTTTGTGAAGTCTTCATTCAGAAACTCGTTAATCGGACTCGATACATACAAACTTCTTGATGTTGTTTTAAAAGACCTATTTTCTTTAACTTCGGCGTTATTCGGTATGATGTAGGTAGACTCTAATTTTAAGCTATATTTAATTGGGCTCTCATTCAGTAAATTTTTGAGTAATTTAATTAACTCAAGTCTTGTCTCCTCCAGAAATGTTTCATAATTAAGAGTTTGTTTTAAATTTTTCTTATAAAAAGTCTTGTGAAGCCCCCCGAATGCTTTTTGTATTAAACTAAACCTATTATCATTAATATTGCTCATTCGGAATTTCTTGGTTTTTCTCTCTTTAGAATCTGCTTGAAGACAGAGTCTGTCGATCTCGCTGTCGTCCCAACAATCGTCGGACTCATACGTTCTTTTTTCGCCTAATTGATAATCGAAATTTCTTAAATATTCTACTTTTATAACATTATATATATATACATAAAAATAATAGAATCTATATTGTTAAGAAGTCTTAAAAACCATTTAAGTATTTGTACTATTTAATATTGAGATTCCAAATAGATCTATATTAATTATAATTTATGTAGGTTTTTATAATTAACAAACCTCTATTGAAAATACATTTTTCTTACCTTTGTTTACGTTGGTAGAAGTAGACGGTTCACAGTAGGGTATAGAAATACTTTGCATCGGCTTATTATTTACAGTAACATTTATTTCGTTGGAATCTGCTTGTAGACAGAGTCTGTCTACTTCGCTGTCATCCCAACAGTTATCAAACTCGTACACTCTTTTTTCACCTAAAGATAATTGAAATTTCGTTGATTATATAATTTTTTAAGACTATAANGCACTCTTTTTTCACCTAAAGATAATTGAAATTTCGTTGATTATATAATTTTTTAAAACTATAACTACGTTTAAATAAAATTTTTGGAAAAATATAATCGATGTTTGAGCAAATAGAATTATTCACTGTACTTAGTAATCACACTAAATTATCGTAAAATAATAAAAATTGATTTGAATTAATTTTAAGAGTTGTAATAATTACCACGTTTATAATATATAAATTTTTCTTACCTTTATTTACGTGGGCAGAAGTCGAGGGTTCGCAATAAGGCAGAACATCATTTAGCACCGATTCGTTAATTTTAGGTTTAACAAGACTTCTTCCGTTTAATTTCAACGTTTTTGGATTGTCTATTAAATATGTAATAAATATATTTAAATAAAATATTGTTGGAAAAAAAAAAAATATATATATATATATATAAATATATATTTAAGTTTAAATTAATTAAAGAAAATTTTTACTTACTATGTATCAAACGATGTCTTATTAAAGTACTTTTTCTATTAAATGTTTTCGAACACACTTCACAACTAAACTGAATACCGGTATGAATTTTCGTATGTAAGTTTAGGCTGCTGATGGTAGCAAAAATTTTATCACATGTATTACACTGATGCATTTTTACTGATTTTGTAAAGTACAAAAAATTGCAAATAAAGAATAGAGTAAACTCTAGATTTAAAACTTGTAGAATATCTCTAGTACGGATGATAAAGCGAGTTCAACAAACGGCACAAGAAACACAAGTGAGGCTCTTGCAAAATTTTAGAGCCATTTTAAAGGACTCGAAATATAATTCTTACCTGAAATTTTTCCTATCCCCCAAAACNACTCGAAATATAATTCTTACCTGAAATTTTTCCTATCCCCCAAAACTCATAGCTAATCACCGACCATGTTACGCACGGTCATTAATGAGGGCATTTTGAAAAGCCATTAACATATACTCGTTAATACTAAATACTTGCGACAATATATGTTTTGCGCATGTTACCTGATTAGCAGTGGAATTTGAATCAATTTCAAAAAAAAATGTAGCTGCAAATAATATTGCACTGTAAATATCTTTATAACTATATTATTAAACTCTACGTTTAAAATAAACGATATTAACGTAATATCGATTTTAGTATAATCCATTCTATACTTTCACATTTCACCTAAATTACTTATTAAGGGGAGGTATTTTTTTTTTCTCAATAATTAATATTTTTACTTTCTAATAATTTGCTACCCTACCCTAAACAGTTAGACTAGCCTTTAACTGACTTAAACATGTTCGTATATGATTTAATTAGAAAGATACATTAAAGATTACTCCATAGCGTAAATGGCTGTTCGCAAGAATGTTTAACTACTTAACTAATACACATATTAATTATACTAATAAAAACACATATCATTACTTATTCATAAACTATTAAAATACCCAATATTATCATCTTGTAGAATTGTGTAATTAAACTGATTTATCATATACATATTTTTACATATAGATATGTATTAACTGTTATTATTAATTAAAATAAACGATATTAAACGTAATATCACTGTTAGTCTAATCCATTCTATTAAACTACTTATTAAGGGGCATGAATTAAGGAAAATCAATTTTTTTTTTTTTTTTTATGTTGTACACACTTTACACATGTAGTCATGTTTAGGTAGCGTTGGGTTAAACGCCGCCGTCATCACCACTAACGTTGACGCTTCAGTCGTCACCGTCTTAATTACCATTGCTCTAATGGCTTTTTTTTATTTTAAATTTTGACTTTAACTACTTATTTGTGAGTGCGTGGAAGTAAATAAAATCATTAAGTAATTTTTCTAAAATAAACCTTTTGTTGGGTT